CAAGGTGGTCTTTTATCAGTCCGGCTGGGCTGGGGTCTTCCGCTCTACGCTTTCTGTGCCTGGACCCTTCCATACCAGGAGTGTGTGTGTCTTCAGGCAAAATCCAGATGGACTTAGTAATCTGGTCTGGTTGGTGGGGAAGGGGGGCCCTACAGAAGTCCAGAGAACTAGGACAAGGGGGCCTGTGGATCCTATTCTTTCTCAGTATATCATATTGGTTCAAAGCAAAGATGGATCTCAACACTAGTTCTCCCAATTTCAAGCTCTATTTAACCTTTTATGCCTTAGTTTCTATATCTATAAAATGGGAATACTAACAGTACTCATCTCAAGGCTCAGATGGTTAAGTCTCTGACTCTTGATCTCGGCTCAGGTCATGATCTCAGGGTTGTGAGACTGAGCCCCGCACCAAGCTCTGGGCTCAGTGCAGAGTCTGCTTATGATTCTCTTCCACCCTCTGACCCCTTCCCCCACCCCTCTCCTGCTCTCTATCTCTTTCTCTTAAAAATAAAAAAAAAAACAAAAAAACAAACCTAGTATCCATCTCATGGGGAAGTTGTGAGGGTTAAGTACAGTAGAGTGTTTAAGACACTTAGCACAGCACCTGACATATCAGTAAAGTGTCACTATTGTCATTGTGATTATTATTTCTACCTCCTCCTTGACACACTCTGTCCCATGCATCCACTGTTGAGCTATTCTGCCTCCCCTTTTCCCCCCTTCATTTTGATCACCCTCATCCTTTCATTCTGGAGCCCAAATCCGTTCTTCAGTAGGATGGAGACCTGAACAGTGGGTCCAAGGCTGCCTCCTCCAGAAAGAGAAGATGTTCCTTGACACCATCCCTCTGGTGTCACCTACACCTACCCTTCTTCAGAGGTGGAGCCTGGAGCAGGGGGAGGCTCTCCTCTCTCGTGGGGGCAAGGGAGTCGAGCACCCAGCCAAAAGCCTGGAAGTCCCTGGACGGGTTTAATCTGGGATGGATACTCACGGTCAAGGGCGAGGCGAAAGTGGCTGGTGTTGCTGTGGGAACTATCATAGGAGTGGGTCTGGTGCACGGACTCGTCCACCACAGCTGCCATCCAGATGGCCAGGTTTGTGGTGAGGGTGAACATGAGACCGCACCTGTTTGGGAAGGGGGAGCAGAGAGGCCAGTGAGAGGCTGGCCCATGGTGGGTCCCTGGGGAGTTGGAAAGCTGGGGAGCTATACTGGGAGATGATGTTGGGAAGCAAGAAAGCAGGGTGAACAGAGAGGCTGAGTTTGGAAGGAACACTTAGTCTGGCCAGGATGCCACACAGGAGAGGGCCAGGGGATGTCCAGGGGCTCAGGCCACTGCCACTCCCTCTCCTAGAGGAAAGCACATACAGTGCACTGTATAACCCATGTCACCAAAACACACAGGTATGAGTGTGTAGGCACACACCCATACACACAACACAGCACAGCCTGGTGAAATCGGCTGAAAGAGCAAGGGGGCCTTGGCTGAAACCCCACCCGGGGTGCAGAAAGAGGACCCAGGTCCCAGGTTGGAAAGCTCATCCCCAGGGGAGCACGGATGTTGAGCTGTGGGGCCAGCACTCACCGGGTCAGATCCAGATGGACGTGAATACAGTCTTTTGAGGAGACCCAGAGAAAGTAAGTCTGTGTTGAGAGAAAGTGGGGGAGGTGTTTGACTCTGGAGTGCCTGTGTCCAAACCCAACAGTATGTTCCCTCTTCCTCAAGAGCCCCCATACTAACCTACCAAGTTTATCTTAGCTTTACAAAACGAATAAGGAACATTCTCTCTTTCTATGGAACAATTTGTATAAAATAGTTCTGTTCTTTCAGAACTTGCAAAATGTTGCCTGTAAATTCTTGGTGTTTGTTTGTTTGTTGTTACTGTTGTTTTCAGGTAGAGTTTGACCATCTAGTTACTTATTCCTGGGAGCGAGGCCAGTCTGAGGCTGGGTCTTATCCAAGGTAGAGAGAGTCTCTGGTGGCTTCTCGCCTCCCCTTGGCAACATCCCCTGCCCCATTCCTAGCCTTTGTTGTCCTGCAACCCTCCCCTAGTTACCAATAAATCCTTGTCATGGTATTTGTTGATGTGGGGGCGTCTGTATTTTTGCTGTGAGTATTCTTCAAGCCCATGAGCTGAACAAGTGTAACACTATCGTTAAGTACCAAAGTCATAAACGTGTTGAATTGTGGAAATCGACAGGGCTGATGTTTCAGGAGAGGGAACCCTACATGTGGTATTCTGGTCGTGGTGCAGGGATGAGATCCGTTCTGGTCCCATGTAAGACCACTCCTGCCTCAGCTCAATCAGGAGATCTTTCAGGATGTTGTGTGTGCAAAAAAGAAAAATACATATTCTTGAACTTGTTTGAAAAATCCCAGGTACAGGGTACCCTATTTCCTGAACAGATACAGAACATATGGGCAGTAGCCGAGGCTAAACCGGCCATGCCCCCCTCCCCCCAGGACCCTGGGCTGAGACTGATGCCCTCTACAGGCACCCAGGGAGGGCAAGCCAGGTTCGAGGAGACATGGCAGCTACCCCAACTCAGACATCCTAGATGTTAATACCAGCACTGCTTGGGTTGAAATGAAAATCACAGGGCCCCTAAGTAGGAGCTCACATCTGGATATGACTTCATTACCAAGTGCTTCCAGATTTATGGACTCATGTGATCCATGCTATAGTCCTATCCCCACCTTACTTGATTGTTCAGGGTAGAAGAGTAGAGATCTCCAGACCTCATGCCAGGTGTCGGCTCCTTTCCACCACACTCGAGAACGCTCCTCCCACCCACCTGGACGATGACAAACACAGCCTGGGTGAGAGGGTGCAGGATCTTGATGGCCGACTGGCACTCAAAGAAACTGGAGTAGTAGCCAGTCTTGAAGACATCCATGACAAGAGTGCAGATCCCAAACAGCACCAGCCCACCTGGGAATGAGGGGTGGGGTGGGGGGTCAGAGAGGATGGTTTGTAGATCTGAGGATGAATGACTAGATGGGCAGTTGATGGTTGGGTGGGTGGAGGGATGGATGGAAGCCCTGTCTCTTTGGGGCTGCTTGGATTGGGGCCAGAACGGCCCTCAGTGGCCTATTTCAGTTGCAGCTTCACCTGTCCTCAGCTCTCCCTCTAAGGCTGTCCCATGACCACCCCTTTTCAGTCTTTAGGAAGAGCAAAGAAGTCCCCCTCCATCCCTCACGTCATTCTTCTTCCAAGGCTATTTTCCTTCCTCTTCTCCTTTAGCCACAGCCTATCTCATCTTCGGCCACATCTGGCCCCCTGGGAATTTCTCAGCCCCCTACCTTGACGCGCGCTCCACAATTCCTCTGAGAGTCCCAGCCTCTGGCTCCTCTCCTGCCCCCCCACCTCTCCCCGTCCCACCTCCCCTGGCACCTCGGAGCCAGATGGGGCCGGCGTGCGCGTCCCGATAGGGGACGGCGTTGGGGCAGCGCACGGTCCGCAGGAGGTAGAAGAGGATCCAGAGGGAGGCGAGCAGCATCATGGTGGTGAGCAGCGCGAACACGTCGGTGTCATACACCGCTACCTTGTTGAAGGCGCCGCCACTGATGAGCGTGCAGGCGAGGAGCAGCACGTTCACGGCCAGCAGCACGGACAGAAGGCGGCCGCCCTTCTTCCACACCTCGCGGGAGCCTGCCCGTGGCTCTGCCGGCGGGCTCTCCTTGGGGCCCGGGGTCGACTCCTCGGACATGGCAGGGGCGACTGGGGGAACCTGGACAGGTCACTGTGGAGGAAGAGCGTACAGGACCCCAGGTCACCCCCCCATCCCTAGATTTAGGAACCGAGAAGTTCCTCACCCGGAGGGTGGGGGTTGCGGGTGGTGGAGGAAGCGCTGGGGAAAGGGAAGAGAAAAGCCGACACTTTGGGTCTCTCGCTCGACGACGGAGGGAAGGAGAAGCGGCGGCAGCCCCGTCGGACCCCGACCAACGTCCCCACTCCCCCGTCCGTCGACCGTCTGGTCCGGGCACCCACCTGGCTGGGCCGGGAGACGGCGCTGAGCTGGGGGTCAGGGGGCGGCGAGCGTCTCCTCTCTCCCACACCGGGCTGGACGGGAGCTTTATACCGGGGAGGGCAGGGTGATTTACAGCCGCGGGAGCTCAGCTCCATAAATCTCTCAGTCCCGCTCACATGATCCATCTTTTCTCCGAGCTGAATTTAGGGAACAGAGAGAGGGAGCAAGATAAGGTAAGATTTATATTTACCCGTTAACGGGTGCCCCCTCCCGCGCCGTCCCGTCGCCTTGGCGCGGCCAGGTTTGGGCGCAGCCCTGCACTGCGGCACCCAGAGGGCACCCCGCCCCCGGCGCCCACCGCGCCCTCGCGCGCCGCAGTCCCCGCCGTCCAGAGCCCCGAGGGATGCTGCTCGATAGACTCCCCAGGGGCCCGCGGGCACCCCGACACCCTCCCAGACCCGGCGCACCCTATACCTTCGTGCTCCTCTGTTGCTGCCCCAAGATCGAGACCCCAGTGCCCCTTTCCCCGACACCCTCGCAGAGACCGAAGTTCCTTCTCCCTCTATCCCTCCCCGCAGCCTTCCGCTCTGCTGGAAGCTGCGAAGTCCGGCTTGGGTAGAAGTTCTCCCGCCGCGCGCCGAGTCCGCGTCCAGTCTTCGAGCGCCCCCTACTGGGCCGCGGCTCGCCTACCCCGCGCGCGCGAGGGGCAGCCGGGACTGCGGCGGGGAGAGGGAGCTACTGCCGGTCTGGGCGTCAGTCCTCCTGCCCGTCCCAAGCCTCTGTTCTAGGGATCCTGACTGCCCGCAGACACCCCTCCTCAGCCCTGGGCCCCTTCCTTCGACGGTGAAGACATCGGGAGCCGCAGGGACACCCCCCTCCCCACTGTCCCCAGACCGGGCCTCATGGGGCGGGGCGCTGGGGTCACCACTTTTGGAGCGAGGGCAGGGCCTCGCTGTGCGCTCGGAAGCAGGGTGTTTAGGACCCAGGGGCAACCCAGGGGCGGCTCCCTGGGCAGCGGGAGATCCTTCCCCCCTCCCACCCGGGGCGAGCGGCTCAGATGTCGGAGTAGCGGCGGCTCTGGCGCTCCGCAACCTCCGTCTGCGGCAGCGGGGGCTGGCGGCCCCGGCCCCTGCTCGGCCCCCTCCCCCAACCTCATGCCTCAGCCCTAACCCCGCCGCCCTCCCCCGCGGGGGGCATTTCCCCGCGCCCCCTGCCCACCCTGTCCAAGCCAGGCGCCATGAACGACCAGTACCACCGGGCGGCCCGGGACGGCTACCTGGAGCTCCTCAAAGAGGCCACCAGGAAGGAGCTGAACGCCCCCGATGACGATGGCATGACTCCCACTCTCTGGGCTGCCTACCATGGCAACCTGGAGTCGCTGCGTGTCATCGTGAGCCGAGGGTGAGTACCCACCCTGTCCCTGCCTAAGCCCCCCCCCCCGTGGAGGGGGAAGAGAGCCTTCAGGTCCCTCCGGTCCCCTGAGACACACTCCCCAAGACTCTAATGTGTCTTCCCCCTCTCTCCTCTGAACTGCCCTCTTCTCTACCCCGCTGACCCCCAGGTGGGACACTGGAGCCTGGCACTGGTGGGAGGGGCACAACTTGACATATGCGACACTTGTGACCCGGATGTGGGGCTAGGAGCGGAGGGACTGGGTTGGGGGGCCCATGATTATGGGAGGGGCTGAAGAGTGAGGGGAAGGTGGAAGAGGTCTCCTGGGTGGGTAGCGCTTGGAAGCAAGGTGGGGGTGGAGAGAAGGGGCACAGGCGGTGCGAGGAAGGCTCCTTAGTGTCCACTCCCCAGCCTGCGGTCCAAGGGGCTCTCCGACCCAGAGCTGCACCTCCTCGCAGGCTGGGGCTCATACAGCTCTCTCTGAGCTCATTCTTGGGATTTATGGGCGCTGTCCACAGCACCAAATGTCAGTGGGTACAGCCGCCTCATTAACTCCCTCTATGCCCCTCCCCTCATAGCAAGCTCCCTCTCCCTCCTTCAGGAGTTGTCTGGGGGGAGCAGTGGGCCTAGAGTCCAGGGGTCAGGGCCAGGAAAGGGGTTTGAAGGTAGCAATGAAAGAATTCAGGGTCCAGGGCCACTGACGTGGGCTCCTGGGTCTGAATGGCCCTGTGGATAACTTCGCCAGCCTCCGCAGTTTTATACAGAGAGGTCACCTGGTTGAACCAGACACCTGGGCAGCCTGGGCAGGGAAAAGGAGTGGAAGACATTCCTCAAGAAGACATGCCCCAGGAGTGTTCACAGGAACATCTTAGGCCCTGGGAAATCACGGTGGAGGGAAAGGGGCCCAGCTGGTCTCAGTGCCGGATGCTGGCCTGTGGCCTGAGCATGTGGTGGGTGGGGAACCCCTTTGCCCTCCCTCTGAGGCCACTTCCCAGTCCAGCAGCAGGTGGGAGCAGGCTGCTGAGCCATGTTCTGAGAAGCCCAGACTGGCCCCTTCGCACACCAAGAGAGCACACAGCGGTCCTCCCACACTGCCCCCCTCCCACACTGCCCCCCATCAGAGAGGCCCACGGGAGCGGGGGAAAAGAGTGCCTTCCTGGTACACCAAGTCCCCCAGCTCCTACAGAGAGCAAAGGCTGGTACTGGATGGGGTGTGAGCCAAATGCCAAGCAGCTCCTTGCCACATTGTCCTGCAGGACTTGGCGACCAATAGGGGAAGTGAGGAGGGGTTTGTGGGGGGAGCTGTTGAGACAAGGGGGTGATTCTTCCTCCAGCTCTGCGGGGTGGGCTCGTGGCCTCATTAGTGTGAGGAAGAGGTGCTGATCCAGGCCTCTGTGGGAGGGGACTGGAGGAGCCCTCTGGAGCATGCCCAAGGGGGCACAATCTGGTGTGGAGGGTATTGGAGGATGCTGGGTGGGTCCCCTGGGCAGGCACAAGCCAGCCTGCCTAACAAGGCTCCCAAAGATGGGACAGCCCCGGGGAAGGAAGGGCCGCTGGGCCTGGGTTGCAGACTTGCCTCCTCCTCCCCTTTGGTCCTGGCTGCCCCCACGCTCCCCTCCCAGCCCAGGCCAAGACCCGACACCTGCTCTCACACGCAGCCTTGCCAGGCCTGGCCCTGCTCCCTGCAGACATGGCCGTGCCCGCCGACACGCAGGCACACACTCTTACACACACTCACCCAGGGCTCCAGCTCTGCACCCACCACTCTCTTGTGCCCTCTCTTAGGGTCACCCCTACACCCGCAGCCACACTCACCACCACGTCTGCCTAGAGACCCAGACTCGGCCCTGGCCCACCACCTCTCTGGGACAGCTCCCCGCTGGGCTCCATGAATAATTCACTCCTTTCTCTCTGGGCATCAAATATTTATCCCCTGAGATTCCCAGCCATCAGTTCTCCTGGGGAAGGCACCGCCCTGGCCCCGCCTTTTCTGTCGCCCCGCCCCCTGCAGGTCTGGGGCCATTTCCGCCTTCCTTGCCCTCCACCCCCGCCCCCCGCTCCCAGGTCCGTCCGACGTCTCCTGGAGTCAGAGGAGACATCTCAGGCCCTGGGGGTCCCGCTGGGGTCCCCATGGGGCGGCTCGGGCCGGGAGCTCCCCTCTCCTGCAGCCAGAGCCCGAAACTGTGTTGGCTCATCACCCCTCCCCGCGTGTCCCCCCTGCAGGGGTGACCCAGACAAGTGCGACATCTGGGGCAACACGCCCCTGCACCTGGCAGCTTCCAATGGCCACCTGCACTGCCTCTCCTTCCTGGTGTCCTTCGGGGCCAACATCTGGTGCCTGGACAACGACTACCACACGCCGCTGGACATGGCCGCCATGAAGGGCCACATGGAGTGCGTGCGCTACCTGGACTCCATCGCGGCCAAGCAGAGCAGCCTCAACCCCAAGCTGGTGGGCAAGCTGAAGGACAAGGCCTTCCGCGAGGCCGAGCGGCGCATCCGCGAGTGCGCCAAGCTGCAGCGCAAGCACCACGAGCGCATGGAGCGGCGCTACCGGCGCGAGCTGGCCGAGCGCTCAGACGCGCTCAGCTTCTCCAGCCTCACGTCCAGCACCCTGAGCCGCCGGCTGCAGCACCTGGCGCTGGGCAGCCAGCTGCCCTACTCGCAGGCCACGCTGCTCGGCACGGCCAGGGGCAAGGCCAAGATCCAGCGCAAGCTGGAGCGGCGCAAGCAGGGCGGCGAGGGCACCTTCAAGATCTCCGAGGACGGCCGCAAGAGCGTGCGCTCGCTCTCCGGCCTGCAGCTGGGCAGCGACGTGATGTTCGTGCGCCAGGGCACCTACGCCAACCCCAAGGAGTGGGGCCGCTCCCCGCTCCGGGACATGTTCCTCTCCGACGAGGACAGCGTCTCCCGTGCCACGCTGGCGGCCGAGCCGGCCCACTCGGAGGTCAGCACCGACTCAGGCCACGACTCCCTGTTTACCCGGCCCGGCCTGGGCACCATGGTGTTCCGCAGGAACTACTTGAGCAGCGGGCTGCACGGGCTGGGCCGCGAGGACGCGGCGCTGGACGGCGGGGGTGCCCCGCGAGGTCGGCTGCAGAGCTCCCCCAGCCTGGACGACGACAGCCTGGGCAGTGCCAACAGCCTGCAGGACCGCAGCTGCGGGGAGGAGCTGCCCTGGGACGAGCTGGACTTGGGCCTGGATGAGGACCTGGAGCCTGAGACGAGCCCGCTGGAGACCTTCTTGGCTTCCCTGCACATGGAGGACTTCGCCTCCCTCCTGCGGCAGGAGAAGATTGACCTTGAGGCCTTGATGCTGTGCTCCGACCTTGACCTCCGCAGCATCAGCGTCCCCCTGGGGCCCCGCAAGAAGATTCTGGGGGCCGTGAGGAGAAGGAGGCAGGCGCTGGAACGCCCGCCGGCCCTCGAGGACACGGAGTTGTGAGTGCCCCTGCCTTGGGGACCTGGGGAGATAGGGCCCGAAGGCCTGAGGGAGTTGCGGGGCAGGGCGGGGTAGGGGGTGGGGAGGATCTGCCTTTTCACGAGTGTGTGTGTGTGTGTGTGTGTGTGTGTAATACCCTATTTCCTAAAATCTAAGCCCTCATCAAAGACAAGAGGTTCCACTTAATTTGTTTGCCCCCAGTTCTGAAAAAGAAGCCGTCAATTTAATGAGCACTGGAGGCCTTCTTATCCCAGCTAATGTAAAAGGCTCCTTGATTTTGGAGATAGCAGAATGCCCCCCAGATGGTTGTCTTTGTGGATGCCGAACAGTAAGTAGTCAGAGTAATCACAGCCAGGACGTTTCGAGCCCTCCCCCCCACCGGGTGCTGGAGACGGCCCTCCACGTGTCCTCTCACTGAGTCCTCCCCAGCCCCCATGTGCGGGGGCTGCGTCACCCCATTTTCCAGGAGAGCAAGTGGAGGCTCAGAGGGTTCCAGCAGCTCATGCCAAGGCCCTGCTGCAGCCTGGTGCAGAGCCTGGGCTTTGATCCCTGGTCTGTGCGGCTCCAGAGCCTCGTGACTCCCATGGGAGGAGAGCCGTCACGTTCAAAAGCAATCAGGGGGAGCTCAGGTCTGCTACCACACTGGTGGTCTGGTTCTCCCCCGACCCCTTTCTCGTGGCATCCCACAAGCCCAGCAAATGCTGCCGCCTCCTTTTGGTGTCTATGGCCTTTACCCTGCACAGCTGGGCAGGGGTGGGTGTGGGGAGGCAGGCTGGTTTAGAGTTCCGGGGATGGGGAAGACACCCCCTGGCCAGGGGCCCCATCCCAGACCATAAGCCTGTCAGGAGAGGACTGCTTGACCAAAAGGCTGGTGTTGGTTTAAAATGGTCTTGAAGGCCCTTACCTGAAGTCTGTTTCTGTGTCTTTCTCTGCAGGTAGCAGGAGGCTCCTCTCCAGACCAAAATGAATTAATTGCAAGTTGCCACAACCCACCGTGGGGCCATGAGGGCCTCACAGTCGCCAGCCCTGAAGCCACCCCCTCCTCCCAGGAGCAAAGACCATGTGGTCTTCTCCTTTGAAAGCCTGTCCACACTCCACAGCAGAGGTGTAGCCTGGAGGTACCAGCAAGGGGTCCCAGAGCCTTTGAGCCTCCCCCATCTGAATGGCCCCAAGGACTGTGGATTCGTGGGAGGCCAGCCCCAGAGGAAGGGGGGTGCCGGAGCCCCAGGGAATAGATGACAGGCTCCTTAGAGCTCAATGGGAGTGTGAGGGGTGGGCATGGCCTATCCCAGGGCCCAGGGGCCGTTGTCTCTCCTCACCCCTCCTCCAAAGGTCCTGTTGCTGTGTTCAGGCTGGAGACTTGCTCACTTCCTCCGTTTTTGTGAAGGGAAGAGTTTGGGCTGCCTCACCTCCCCCCCACACATCCTAGAGGGGAGGTTCCTGGCTAGACTCTTCAGCCAAATGCCCTGACTTTAGTCCCCACCCCTGTCCCAATCACCGCCAACCCCCTTCTCCTTCTCCTGCTGGCCATGCTGGGGAGCTGGAGTGCCAGGCGGGGGTGGGGGGGCGGGGGGGGGGCCTAGCATCCTTACCAGTTCACCTTGTGGCGGGGCCCAGCCTGACTCTGCCCTCCTCACACTGCCCTCCTCCCCCCTGCCTCCAGCCTGGTCCCTCCAGGGACCCCAGAGGGTCAGGACAGTAGATACAAGGTGCTAGAGCAGTGAGCTGCGGTATTAGGGCCCGTAGGCCTGGTGGGCGAGCTCTGGGTTGGAGGGAGGCAGCCGCCAACTGCCTCTGAGTCTCCCAGGCCAGAGACAGGCAGAGACTGGGCACTTCTGGGTCTCTGGCCTCTTGGGGGACAGTCGCATGATATGGACAGTGGAAGAGCCTGAGGATGTGGCTGATCTAAGCTGCTGGCTGTCCCTGGGTCCCCAGGACTCTGTGCATGTGTGTCTGTGTTGAGGGCTGGTTGGTGGATTTGCCTCCTGGTGGGGAGGCAGCCAGGCGACTGCGTGGTTCTGCATGGGTAGTGTGTCAGTGGGAGCTCATCATGTGTCCCTCCTCTGCGACAGCAGTGAGACCAGGGGAAAGGCCAGCCCCAGGGGGTCCTCAGACAGGTGTCCTTGGTTTTCCAATCGGACTGAGCTCATGGCTATGGGAGAGGTACTCGGGGGGCCCCCGGTGTGCCCCTCATCCTTTCAGCAGCGGACCCCCGTTCCTGACCCTCAGCTTAGGAAGCAGCTCCCACTGGGAGCACTGCCACAGCCCCGTCTCTTTCCTGGGCCCCCTTGGCTGGGCCAGGGGACTAGAGAACCCCCAGAAAATGCCACAGGCCTCCCTCTGGTGCGTCTGGTCTGCCCAGAGTGGGGGCCATGGTGGAAGTGGTTTCTGTTCCCACCCTGCAGGCTTGGCTGCCTGCCACTGCCACCCTGAGCCCATACCAGTCCTTTTCACTGTTCTCTTGGCCTGGGCCTGGGGCCACCCCCAAGTGCCGACTCGACTTCCTCAGAGCCCCAGGTGCTGCCCTTTCTCTCCTGTCCCCTGTCTGTGTCCTGGCCTCAGCCTCCTCCCAGTTTTCCCAGTGCTGGGGTGGGGCAGGCTCTGGGATTCCCACTGCCCTACAAAGTACCCCTCCCGCAAGCTCATTACAACTTTTGTAGAAAATGTTCTGTATCATTGTCACGCCTGTGTCTCATTCTTTAATCACTTGGGGGTGGGAGCGGGAGAAGGTCTTTTTGTACCTGAGAGGATTTGGTCCTCGTGGACTCCCTGGAGGGGGGGAGTCTAGGGATGGGTGGTCGGGCATGCTCCCCTCATGCACCCCTGCAGAGCCTTCCCTCATCGTTGGATCCTTCATCCTGCTCTCTCTGGCCCAGAATTTGGAGCTTTGGTAGAGAGAGTGTTCAGAAGAACTGGGATGGATGGTCTGGGTTCCAGTCCTGCTCCCAGATCCTGCAGCTGCTGAAGGCAGGAGGACCCCTTCTCCCTCCCCGTTGGAGTCTGTGTGGCCTTCTCCGGACTTGGGCAGAAGCCGTACCCAAGGAGGCCGCCACCCACCTCCCAAGCCCCGTAAGGCCTCACCTCAAGGCCCCTGCCCAGCCTGGGAGGCCACAAGTGTGGTCCGCATTTCCCTCACCAGCCCCAGACAGCTCTTGGGGCAGCACTGTTTAGAACCCTCCTTTCTCCCAAGGGAGTAAGGCTTCCTCTTAAGCTGGAGGACAGTGGCCTCTGTTTGCTCAATCAGGTCTGGGAAAGGGCCCCCTAAGTCATTTTATTTCATTCCCTAAGGCTGCTGGGTCAAGTGCTTCTGCCAAAGGGAGTTCAAGACACATCCCTCCCTCTAGCATCAATCAGAAATGTCCAGAGGATGTCCCAGCAGAAAGGTTGCTTAGCAACCTTCTGGGGTTCTAGGGTTCCACTAGACTGGGGTTCCACTTTACAGATGGGAAAACTGAGGCCTACCGAGGGGAAGATCTGGACCCAGAACACGGGCCTCCTGTCTTTGGGTACACTTTCCTCACCCCCAGGCTAAGAAGGGGGCAGAATTCTGTCCTCTGAGGCTCCACAGGGTCGCCCACCGCCCCCCCCCGCGACCTCTACCGGCCATCCTGATCACTGCACCTACCTCAGGAGAGACCCACCTGTCTTGGCGCCGCGTTTCCCCGGGAAGGACATGGGGGTGAGGACCGAGTAACAAGACAGCGGATAGGAGCTTCAGCGTGGAGACAGAGGCTAATCGGAAGCACTGGGGGCTGGGGTCTCCAGGGGTCAGTGGGGCCGGAGGGTGGAATCCGGGACACAGGAGCAGGTGCAGGTGCAGGAAGTCCGAGGGGACTTTAAACACAGGGAAGGGAAGAATTTTACATGGTAGGGATTCAGCGTTCTCAACCCATTCCCCTTAAAATTGACATCGAGGTTAGGGCAATTCTAAAAGTGGAGAGTGATCTGTGGCTCTTCGCCTATAGGGATGAGAATCTGGTCATAATATGGACACTTCCCGTGGAAAAATACACGACCAGACACACACAGGCATTTGCAATTCTGCTCCTCATTCCAGGAGGCTTCTGGAGCTCCGAGGGGTCCAGGGACCCCAAGCTAAGAAGTTCAACTGCTTAGTTCGACTGCTCTGAAGTTCCATCATAAATGGGATCACTAATTTGAAGGAGATGGGGGTGTCCGAATGAATCAGAGGCAAGAAAGGCCTCTGGGTATGTGGGGCAACCTCAGTTTGCAGATGAGGTAACTAAGGCCCAGAGGACGAGGGGCTGGCCGGAGTGACAGAGCAGCCAAGTGGGCAAAGTGGCCCTCGGTCTCCTGATGCCTTCCATGGTGCCATCTGCCTCTTGTCCCTGTGTTGACCAGTCCCGGTACAGTGTGAGAGTCCTGTGCTCCCAGGGCATGCTTGTGTCACCTTCTCTGAGATAAGCCTGGGTTGTATGGGCGGTGGCAGGACTCAGGAGACAGCCAACCAGATCTGGGCAGCAAAACTGGCTCTGGCCCTTTCCAGCTGGGTGGCCTTGGGTAAGATGCCCAGCCTCTCTGAGTCCATTTCCTCAAATAAAATAGGTGATTATAACTCCTTATAATAAGAGTGTTAACCCTGTGGATCATCGGGAGGTGAAACGATCATGGAATGATAACGAAGATAAGGCACTTAGCAAACGGCTTGATACTCAGTCCACATCAGTGAGTAATGATCACTCTTGTCGGTGGCCTCAGGCGCATGAGCTACTCGCTGCATTTGTGCCCCCCCCCTCCTCCCGCCCAGGAGGTGAATCCTACGTCCCTCCAGGGAGCACTTCTGCTTTTCTGACCCCCTTATGTCAACCCCACCAATCACACTAGCTCCTGGAGACAGCACTGAAGGCGTCCTCATCCCAGCAGCTGGCCACTGGGCCACTGTCCAGTGAGGGGGGGTCTCCCCGAGGAATCCTGGGGTACCCCAGGAGCTGGGCATCTTTCCCGGAGGGGCAATCGCAGGCCCACTGGCCTGGCCCTGTTATGCTACTGTCGGCACAGGGGAGTTATCAAAAACTTTCCCCTAATCCTGTAAAGTAAGTAGGTGAGGAGTTTGAGCCCCATTCCACAGATGAAGAGACTGGCCACCAGAGAGGTTTTGGGACATTTCTTAGGTCCCAGTAAATTCAGGAAAGTTCAGGCTCCCTGACCTGGGTCGCTTCAGCCCCCCATCCCCAGAGGGAAGCTTTCATGTTTTTACTATTAATTTTGGGAGATTATAAGGTGTCAGCATGTTATATGTATATTTAACCCTTAGACTAAAGCCACGACACTGTAAGGCAAGGACTGTGTTACGATGATTATCTCTATGTCACGGATGGAAGAACAGAGGATCAGAGCAACAGTGCAAATTGCCCAAGGTCAAGAGGACAAACCAGGCCTCAGAGACAAATTTCTGTGCCTACCCATGGAGTATTGGCTTCCCAAGAAATGGAACCCTTTGGTGGGGGCAGTCTTTGGTCTTGGGTCCCCTTGTCCTGGGCATGCCTAGTCCTGGGCGGATGGACTCAGCCATGCTGGCAGCTTCAGTGGCCCAAGCAGCTGGGCTGACCCACCTGCCCAGAGGGGCTGGGCTGAGAGAGGACAGGTTGGTTTATGGGAAAAATACTGGGGAGCTGTTTGGGAAGGCAAAAGCCAACTGAGATGGGGGAACAAGACTGAGAAACATTTCATTGTGACCAGAGAGTCTGCCTGTCTCTCTGTCTCTCGGTGTCTCCGCCCCATCTCTCCCTGTAACACTGGGGGTCCTGCTCAGTCTCTCCTCCCCTCTCTCCTCTTTCCATTGCCTCGTCTCTCTAGACCTCAGACTCAGACTCCTTTGCTGTTGGTCCCATAATAAGAAATATATATTTGGTCATGGCTCCTGGTTCCTGACCCAGAGCTCCCGAGTCCCTTAGAAGTTCCTGGGTAAGAGGAGCATCTTTTGCCCAAAAGAGGCGACTCTGGGTGGGCTCCCAGACAGCTTCAGGTGGAGACTGGTCACCAGGGCTAGAAGTTTGGAGCTTTCAGCCCCCATCCTTTGGGAAGGTGGAGGGACTGGAGATTGGGTTAATGATAGATCATGCCTTCACAGTGAAGCTTCCAGAAGCACCCTGCTCTTTGGGGTTCAGAGAGCTGAGTCAGAGTTGATGGATGCATCCATGTTCTCAG